CTTAATTACTAGTGAAGACTTAATGTCTGCTCTATTAAATTACCCTCAAAGTCAGCACTGCCCTGATAAAAATCAGCAAGTGTCCCTAAACCTTCCTGAAAACTTCGATTCTTCAGTCCTCAGTGATTACCTTTCCATGTCCTCAATGAATGTGGAACAAATTATTAAATAATCAATTTGTTATCACTTAAAGATAATCAGGCGATAAGAAAAAGCCAGCAGAAAGCCAAGAACAAATCACATAGAACTGTTTAACTTTCTTTGCCACAGTAACTGGAATAGTGGAGAGAGTAAGCCCAGCAATGCAGGCTATCCTGATGTGTTGTAAGGCTTTTTGAAACAATCCTGTATGATATTTGTCATGGATATGTGCTCTGTAACTACTTATCAGGAGCATACCATCAGACCAGGAGGACTTACAGAGATCAGTCCCAGGGCTGCCTGGCCAGATCTATCAATTAGCTTCCCTAATGACTTAGATGATGCAATAAAGTGTGTTTATAAAATGCATAGTTGGCCCCAAGTCTGGAAGAGAAGGCACGATAGGGAAAAAAAAAATTATCTTGACAAACTGGAGAAAAAGCTCACAATCGGACATCTAAAATTTCACAAAACTGGTGAAAATACAGAACTGAGAAGAGGAAGAAATTAAATGCACCAGTAAAGAAACAGGGAAGACCTGCCTAGACCTCAGCACGGAGGAAACGGATTGAGGAGTTACAGGACCATGAACTGAATATGAATTGCCATTGCAAAGGTATTGCATTAAAAGGCAAATTTCCTTCTTGGCTGTATTACTAGGGCACACTGCCTATAAGACAAAGAGGGTGTCATGATCCAGATATTAAAATTATTAGAAATGCCTCTGCCCAAATTAAGGTGCAAACAAGACCATATGCCAAAGTCAATAGTATGGATTTTATTTAACAGTAAATGTGAGGCAGAGAGAGACAGAAAGAAATAGGAAAAAAAGGGGGTGGAGGGAGGAAAGAAAAAGAGTGATAGACAGAGATTAAATAGAAAAAGTACCACCACTCTATGGAACCCAGTAGTGTCTCACCGGTCCAGTTCTTCTCATCTTCTTGCTGCTGAGGGTCCCACAAAACATAGAGTTCAATGGATCAATATACAATTAGGAGATGCCCAGGCACCTCCCCTGGGGAAGTTTTAGTCTCTTGAGACAGACTCTGGATTTGTTGCATCACTTGGATCACAGTGCAGTCCTCTGGTGGTAGAAGGCCTCAGGAATGAGTCTGGGCAGCGCTTTGAGGGTCTTTGTGACCCGTTCTCAGCTGCCTCTCACATGAATGTCCTGTGTGTATGTGGCCTTCCTGGAGGAAGGGGGTTACTCCTGTTTTGTGTGGAGAGATTTCGTTATCACATGCCCAAAACTCTTCTCCTCCTCCACCCGTTCCGCCTTGTTTACTTTTTCTTGGACCTGAAATAATTGGACAATAATCTTATCTCAAGTTCCCATCACAGTCCAAATTACAGTCAGGAAGCATATTTTGGGGGGGTGGGGGCCTGAGGGGGGTGTGTTCTTCGGTGGTCACAGACAGGTGGTCACAGTTGTTTCCTTGCAGTTTGACAAGTCTTTCTATGATTTTGGCAATGTTTAAGACAAGAACATTTTTGTCTCTCATAGGTTTTTTTTTTCTTTCTGAATACCCCCAAGTTAAAGAGGATTAGTCTAGAAAGGTAACAAAGGGTATATAAAAGGTGCAAAATGCATAGGGTTGAAAGGAGAGGATTTAGTCTAGCAGGAAGAAAACAGAAGAGGGAATATGATAATGCACCTCCAATATATCAGATTGTTAGTAGATGCTGATCAATTGCTCCCCATGTGTGCTGACAGTAGGTCAAGATGCAACAAGCTCAGTTTGGTTACAAAGAGGAGGCAAACCTTCCCAACCATCAGTCAGTGAGCAGCGTAGCAGGTACTGAGGAGGTAGCAGCATCCCTGGCACACATTAAGCACAGATAAGGCAAACATCTGCTTGGGTGGCATCAGGGTACCTGATCCTGCCTCTGGGCACGTAGGTGGATGTCTTCTGAATTTTCCTCTCAGGCTGACACTGGTGTATTTTTAGTTTCTAATATCACTTCATCACTCATTTTGACTGCAGGGATGTGACCCCCAATGCAGGGACAGCCTAAACAGAGATCTGAGCAATCTTACCAGGACCTTAATCCAGTCTCATTACTGGATATGTTATGTGGTGGTCACCTGTATGTCATCACATCCTACACCTTCCTCTTACAGGCTTTCTGTTTGACTGTCCCATTCAAGAGATTACCAAAAACTACTCCACTCTTTTGCTCTTACCACTCTGGCAGGAGGTGTGTTTCATAATATGATTGCTCTCACAGCTAGAAACTTCTGATTTCCAACTTAGATATGTGTATGGCGAGTCAGCAGCCGTCAAGTCAGCTTGATGTGGAGTAGTTCAAATTCATACTCATGTCTGTGGTTATTCTAAAATACAGAAGCTGATGAAAAATTTCCATCTCTTTTCCTCAGGTTTCAAGGAGGAAAATATTATAAATTTGCTGAGGAAAAAGAACAGTTGTTCTTTCTTGCATTAGCATGTAGATGACCTGAATGACATTACAAATGAAATGAAGATATAACACAGGGAAGGATGAAGAGAAGGTGTCAGCTGAGGGCAGAACCAGGAGACCCAAGACCATGTAACAGGCATAATGAGGTTATCAGCTTGATGGATTTAGGAGTGCCAGGAGGAGTAACATGAGAATTGAAAATTGCTGCTTGCAACAGTGGGAATGGTGGCTTATTGGTGAGGGAGGAACCAGTTCCCCTTTTCTGTCTTCCCAAAAGATGTGACAACAAAGGTCACAGTCGTCAGCCTGGAAAATGGTATATGTTTGTCTCTGTGGAGAAGTGTATATGTGAGAATTGACAGTCTTGCCCTGAATCAATACTCACCTTTGCAAAGGAGAAAATGCTTTCTGCTGAACTGATGGCTATTTCAGCCCATTGCAAACCATAACAGATGGGTTTCTTCAAACCTTCATGCATTTTTAGATTGTATTTACACTCACTAAGCAAGTCTTCTGGCTAAGAGGGGAAAAAATAGCATTCTCACTCTTTTTCATTTTGTCCCTGCCCCTGACGCTGTGCTTTCCTGGAGCTGCTGGCTGGGTCCTCCTCAGCTTCTTTGCTGCCTTCTGACTGAGCTGCTTCTGCTTGGAAAGCAGTTATCTGTGTCTCACCTTGGAGGTGGGAGTTCTGGCTCCTTTAGGTTCATCAGTATAGGCTCTGTAACATGGAGTCAAGTACCAGACTGGGAAGCAGAAAAGAGTACAGCTGTCCCTCATTCTCTCTAGACATAAAATGAGACTGATGCTGTTACCAACAAATACCACCTCACATAGTAAAAATGTAGGGGGCTGGTGTTTGAAAGAAAAATGAAACCCACTAATTAGGTATCAGCATTATCACTCTTTCTATGACAGGCATCTGCACTCCTGCCATCCTAGCAAAATTTCAGTCAGCAGAGGCTATTTAGTCAAAATGAAAATTCAGTCTGTGTGTCTAATATATGCTGCTGCTGCCCAGCCTTCTATTTTTTGGCCAGCAAATAGATCTGCTGTTCTCTGTCATGTAGCAGTGATGTCCTACCCTGAAGACAGATGCATTTCAGTAGTTCTTTGCTGGTTCTTTTCTTTTTTTTTTTTTTTTTTTGGTTGGTTGGGGTTTTTTTAAAATACCAGATAGCACTGTTTCATAAAAAGCTTTCTTGGGACAGAACAAGAGCTTCCATGCATATATAACATCGTGATTAGCATTTTGCAATGAACTGGCTAGCATGCACAAAGTGCTGTCTGCTGATAGATCACACAACCTGCTTTTCCTCAGCTGCTTTAGCATAAAGCTGATGTTTGAGCAGGAAGTCCCAAGGACAGCCTTAATGTCAGAAACGCAGAATTATTTAGGTTGGAAAAGACCCCTGAGATCATTGAGTCCAACCTATGACTGATCACCACCATGTCAACTACAACATGGCACTAAATGCCACATTCAGTCTTTCCTTAAATATCTCCAGGGATGGTGGCTGCACCACCTCCCTGGGCAGCCCGTTCTGATGCTTATCAAGCCTTTCCATGAAAAAATTCCTCCTGATGTCCAGAAAAAAAAATTCTAAGTGATCCTAACATGCAGCAAAGCAGCAGTGCTGGCTTTGCCTTGTGTTACCAAGATTGCCTTCTTCCTAGGTGAGCCCTCACCCCCAGCAACAGAAGCGCTGGGCTGGAGTGCCCTGCCCAGTGGGGGACAGGAGCAGGATTGCACTGACTCCCTTTGGGGGAAAACCAACTGATCAGTTCGGATCTGCCCTTCGGGACAGAGAGCACCCTACAGACCCCCGCCCGAGGGAGCAAGGGTTTCTGAGGGGCGGAAAGGCAGGACGACGCAGGACCAATAGGTCCCACCTCAGCTTTCTGGCCTGCTGGTTCTCCCCCAACCCTCCCTCATCCACCACCACTGCAGCGGGCACAGCAGGCTGCGGGCAGCACCGGCACAACGCAGGAGGCGCCGCTCTGGCTTCCACTCGCTCCCAGCTATGTCCGGACCACGCCAAGAGGGCTCTCAGGGATCAGCACGGCGCCCTCACCAAGATGGCGCTCGCCCTCCTCCCCCCTCCCCAGCGCGGCCCCTCACCGAGGCGTGCGCATGCGCGGCGGGGCCGGGCCGGACCATGGGCAGGCGGCGAGCGGGACCGAGCGTGGCCCGGGAGGTGAGGGGGCGGGGAGCGGGAGCGCTGTCCTCACTGCCAGGCTGTGAGCGGGGAACACCGTACTCACTGCCGGGCTCTGAGCTCAGAGCACCGTCCTCACCGCCGGGCTGTGAGCGAGCAGCGGGGAGCACCGTCCTCACCGCCGGTCCGGGAGCGATGCTGCTTGGTGTCGCTGCTCCCGCCGAGCCCTGGGGCTGCTGCGGCCCCCGGCGCGGTGCGGGCGTTGCGGCGAGGGGAGTCAGCCGCTGCTTGTGAGGAGCCCGGTGGTGAACCAGCGTGTGAGGGGCCTGTAAATCACAGCGAGGAGAAAGGAGGAAGGCTGGTTTTTAATAACACACCTGCCTTGTAGAAATGTCTTTTTGTTGTTGCTCTTGGGTGTTTTGTTTGCCACGCCAGAGTTATTCAGGGACTGTGCGGGCGCAGCCCTGTGCCACGTGCTCTAGGATGACCCAAGGCTGGACCACAAGAAGCACGGTGGTCCCTTCAGATCTGACCCATTCTGTGATTCCATGACTCTCTAATCTCCTGCGTGGCAGGAGGGCTGCTGGTAGGCTTTTTTGAAGCTTTACGTTTGTGTTAACCGTCTGAGTCACATTAGTTAGGGTCTCTCTGAAGCATACGTCGTTTTGGCTCCTGTGCTGAACAGTGCCGTCCTGACTGACTTCGAGGAGGCAGTGGAGAGCCCGTAGTTCAAATCTGAGGATTATGGATACTTTGGGAACAGCAAAGGCCTGTATGCTCATCACAAATGGCCGAGATGGGGTAGAATCGATCCAGTGAACCTCACTGGTCATCTTTCTGTCCTGAAGCCTTTCGGGTGGGATTATGCATACCAGACCAAAATAACCAGAGTAGAAAGGCCGGGTAAAGGACTTGGGGCTTGTAATGTGTGTGTCATCAGCCATTAACATAAAGGTGAGTGTCACAGAATCGTTAGGGTTGGAAGGGACCTTCTGAAAATCATCCAGTCCAACCCCCCTGCCAAGGCAGGGTCACTTGTAGCAGGTTACACAGGAACGTGTCCCGGTAAGTTTTGAATGCCTCTGGAGAGGGAGAACCCATGACTTCACTGGGCAGCCTGTTCCAGTGTTCTGCCACCCTCAATGTAAAGAAGTTCTTCCTGATGTTGAGGGGGAACTTCTTGGGCTTCAGTTTGTGGCCATTACTCCTCCTCCTGTTGCTGGGCACCACTGAAAGGAGTCTGGCACCATCCTCTTGGTACCCACCTTTGAGAATGTTGATGAGATTCCCTCTCATCCTACTATGTCATATAATTGGGAGTTCAGTTTACAGTAGTTTTCTTGTCTGTTTCATTGGTTAGGCTTTCATTAGAGACACAGACATTTCTAGACACTCTAACCCAAATATAACCATCAAAGGGAGTCCAGAGGAGTGGGTGCTGACTGTCCAGGCTTCCCTTCGATGAGCCTAGCAGAGAGTTGAAATCTTTTTCGGTGGTTGTTGTTTGAGATATGGTGGTAGACAAAGGGAATTTGAGATGGTAGGGCCTACCTTACAAAAAGGTGCTGAAAAGGTTGAGCCTTTCAGGGGTCTCTTGGTCACAGAATGAAAAGAGACTGATTTTAGCTGCTGCGGAAATTCTTGATAAGTGTTTATGGACTTGTAGTTGCTTTAGGTTTTGGGGGCGGGGGGTTAGAAGTTGTTATGATGCAATACACTAGTTTTGAAAGGATTGTAGAACTACTCTTTTTTGGTGTGTTACAGGTGAAAAGCTCTCAGTGCAAAAATACTGCTAAAAGATAAACTTCTTTCCACTTGCAGTGATGAGAAAGGGAGGAAGAAAACAAAATCCCTTTAAACCAGAGGAAGAGGGCTGTGTTTCAGGTGTCAGAATGCATGACAACTAAGACATTGATTTCATAATTTAAACTTTTATTCTGTTCAGTATTACCTTCTGAGCTGTTATGATTGTAAAGAAAACTTTCCAAATGAGTCTTAATATGACATGATGCATGGCTAGTTCTGAAAGGCCTCATCTAGGCAGAGTCATGCTTGTTTAACTGAAGTCATGATGCTAAATGAATGCAATTTTCTATATGGACACTTATCAGATTAGCTTGCACTTACAGATTGCAGGTGTAATTGATATGATCTGGTTTAAACCGGCATAAATGCATCTCCATAATGTGGCATCTCACGCATCTCACCTCTTTCCTACAGCTCTCTAGTCTTTCAGCAGGCAGCCCTACAGACAGTGCTGAGCTGCACAGAACTCTCTTGAGGAAACTCGTCAGGAAAATGAAACTGAGGAGACTGGTCCATTTTGTAGCAAAATAATGAAAATGAAAAGAACTTAAGAGAGTGACAAGGATGATCAAAGGTGTGGAAAACTTATATGCAAGATTCTGCCAAGTGTTCCAGGTCCTTTTAAGCTTGAAAACATGACTGCAAGGGAACCCAATATAGGTCTATATCCTCTGCATGCTATCTGTAGCTTTAAACAAAGAATGAACCTTCACTGTCAATAAAAAAATTAGGGCTATCAAATGAAACAAGCAGCTGGCGAGCTCAGAACAAACAAAAGGGGTTGGTTCTTCCTGTAACCTGTGGCTGTGCTGTGAAACTCCCTGCCAGAGGATGTTGTAACCCTTAAAAATATACTTGTGGATCAGACAACAACTGGAAAAAAATCATGGAAGCAGAAAAGTGCATTAAATGCAAAGAGAACACCCTACACTCAGGCAGTGTCTAAGCTGCAAAATGTCATGTGTGTTTGGAGAAAGTATTGTCACTTTGTGTATTGCTGCTTCTGACAGGGCAGTTCCTGATGACTGTCTGTGCAAGAGCATAAAGAACAGGGAAAAGCCAACATAGTTTTTACTCAGTAAAGCTGTTCTTACAGGGTTTTTCAAAAAGCACTGCTCTGAGCTGAGGCAGGATGTTTATGGGATGCTTATGGGATAGTCTCTGCAAGGCTGAAGGAAGAGGTACAGGTAGGATCCAGCCTTTTCTCCTTTAGCAATGCAGAGGATTGTTCTGCAGAATTTATCCTGCTGGAGGATCATCCTCTGCTGTGTAGTAGCTTATCTGGTAAATATTTCCAAGCACACTGTGGGCAGAGCATCTGTGAAATTATTTGCCAGCATGCAAAATGATTCCAGGAGTGTGGAGAAAATGGAAGTGTGCACATGATCTACAAGTTAGCACTTGAATTTAAACAAAACTTCTTTCTGCTGGACTGATATTAATAATCCAGCCAAATTTGTGGATGAAGGAACCATTAATTCTTCTGTGAAAAGAATGGCTCAAGTATGCTGGCAGGTGATAAGGCATGTAAAGACTGCTCAGTGAAGGGTTTCTTCATTTGCCCCTACCTCTTCAGTTGGCTTTGATCTGTTTTATGAGGGTCACAAGATGAAAACCTCATTACCTAATGCTGTTGGATGTCGACGTATGTGTGATATGGCTCTTTGCCAGTATCTTAATTAGGGAATTCATAAAAGCAGAGGGTGGATGCCAGTTCTTGAAAAGCGCTTTTAGCCTTTCTGCTGGAAAGAAAGATTTTATTAATTCATTACAAAATGTATTAAATGGGATCCAGCTCAACTCTGTAAGCAAAGCTGCTTCTTTTTCTATTCTCTCTTTGCCTCTGCCTTTATGTGAGCTATTTTGGGCTCACTGCCCAAGATGGTCCCCACAAATGATATTTGTAATCAGCACATAAATCAGTTTGAATTGAAATCCATTCCGTGTCTCCCTGGCTGAAAAAGGTTTCCAGATTGTGAGCGAGTATTGCCAGAATTCAACAAAAATAGCCCAATGCCTTGTCATACCTGTGGAGCAAAGGAGGCATCTGGTCTTAGATCTCTGCGTGCATCCAAAGCTGCTGGGACCTGACTTTGTGGAGTGTCTCATGATGAGCTTCAGAAGGGCAGCTCTGCGTGCCCTGCGCTGCTGCCCGGGTGTGAAGCACCCATTTCACTCACCCCTTTTAACTGGCACTACTTAAAGGTGTTGCTGTGGGTGAAGTCCTGTGTCCCTGCTACCGCCTGTGAGCCATGATGAGTTGCCATGTGAGCTTTCTAAGTGCTGCATTTCAGCTCTGTCCCACAGGACTCCCTTCATGGAAAGGAGAGCTACAAGGAGAAAGGCTTCATCTTTGCAATTTAAGAGTCACTGTGCTGAGCTTGCCACTAAAATTATAAGGCAGTGTGGAGTGCAGGGGTGGGTCAGCTAAGCGAGCTTGGCTCTTTGTTTTCCTGTGGGCTTCCAGTATGCCTAGGTACATATCCCAGCTAACCTTCTCCTGTATTAGTTAGTAGGAGGGAAAGCTTTCCATCCACAGCTAGCTGAGGTGAGCCCCTGTTTCTAGGATTGCTCTCCTGGAGAGCTGCATAGGGAATTATGCCAAAGCCCTACAGATTTTCTTGTGCTACAGTTTTACAGACTACGCCCCCACTGTGAGTTTCCTGAGCAGCCCAGAGAGTAATCAGTAAATCCCAGGCATTAGTCTGATTTTTCCCTGTGCTTATTTTCTATTTCTGTCTTTCCTTTGTCCTGCAGTGAAGAATTATTTGGATGGCTGAGCTGCTGAGAGACTCCTGGCTTGCAGGAATTGATCCCAAATCCCAAGTGAGGTAGTGGCATTGTCTGAGGCTTCTTGTGCAAATGAGCTAACTTCAGGAGGCAGATGGTATTGTCCCAATTTATAAGTGGGGAAACTGAGGCAGGGTGAATGGATAACATCTGTGAATCCTCACTCTTGTCCTTCCTTACAACCCCTAAGTCCCTAGACTAGCTGGAAGAAAAGAAACAGAGAGATTCTGAAGGAAAAGTATTTTGTTCATTCAGCAGTCTGTTCCTTCTTCCTTTCTTTTTTTTTTTTTTTCTGATTATTTTCTGTCCCTTGTGCCCTCAGCTCAGCAAAGCTGATGGTGCAGTTCTAGGGCATGTGGTTTATTAGCAAATTATTGCTCTCTAGCAGGGGACCCAGACTTTGGGTTTGATTTAAGAGCAGTAACACCAGTTGAAACTTTTAAAGTATTGTGTGGCATCTGGAGATTTTTAGTCAGCAGAAAGTAAAAGCATTGCCAGAGCTGGGTGGAATATCCTCTTGTTGAGTCTCATGAAATGAGGGAAGTATGGGCAGAGAATGTCCCAGTGAGAGCAACTACAGACTCACCAGGAGGAGCAGTTCTGGAGGAGAGGATAGGAGTGGAGTGGCATGGATTAATTTAGTGGTGGGGTTGGCAGCTGACTGAAGCTCTCGTTAAATTGTATTATTTAACATTATTTTTAAGTGTATTTCCCAAGAAGGCATGGTGCATTGTAATAAGTTTACTGGCTAAGGATAGCCAAATAACATGCTGGAGCATCCCTTGCTGTGTGTATATGTGAGGGTTTCCAACACCTAAGGGAGCTTTTAAATAGTCGTTTTTAAATGGTAGGAACTGCTGAAGGTGATGGTAGTTCTTAAGCTGGTCTGGACAGACACCCCACCTCCATTCTGCTCCACTCTGCCATTAAATTAACTTGCTGATAACTGTGGTCAGAGTTGACCTGGGCAAAGCCCTTACTTGGCCCTGAAGCATCATGCTAACTGACCTGTAGTGGATGACATAGTGATGAGCAGCTGGAATTTACATTCCTAACTGGTACAGCTGGAAATGGAGGAGAACAATTATCTTTGCCCTCACCGAATGCATTTTCAGCTAACATGATTCAAAAATATCCATGTCCCCATCCAGGCAAACCCAAGCATTGCCAAACACAGAAGTGCCCTTCCATGTGCTCTGGATCAGGTGATGTGTTTTGGTGCTCCCCTTGGGCTCAGGGGAAGCTGTGCAGGTGCCTCTGGGGAGCTTGGCATCTCAACAGCCCTAGCAGAGTTGCCTAATAATGTGGGACTTTGAAATTGCTATCTGGTAAATAAAACACTTACTTGAGCCTTATTATGTGTGTCCCCCTTCCCAGCTCTGCTGTGCTCCTTGCAGTGAGACTATTCAGCTGACTGGCTAAACTTCTTTTTATGGTCTGTTTTGTTCTCCCCTTTTGCATCAGGCCTCTTCTCCCGTCCTGCTTATTTATGATGCTTGCCTGCCTTTTCCTGAGCAGAAGGTGTGAATTGCTAATGAGCTCAGGACAGAGCTGATCCCCAAAGCAGCAATAATTAGGGATCACTACCTTTGATTTTGTTTCCCTTATCACTTTTTATGGGAGTGTTTGTGCTCTGGGCCACCTCAGAGGCTGATGTCCAGGCAGCTTATTCCACCTCAGTACTTTACCCAGGACTGTGCTGCCTCTCAGCATCTGGTGTGAGAAGGCTCCCACCACAGAGAGGCTGTGCTGCCTGCCATCTAGCCAGCCCTGGCCTTCCCTGGAGAACCAGGCACAGCAGGAGTGTCGTGCTAAGTAGCTAAAAAGAGAGGTCACTGCCACCTCAGGGCACCAAGGCTGTTTGCTTTCAGGCTAGATTGTTGTGTTCATATTATCTGATTAGTCCCATTGTTTCCCTGCTGGCAGCAAGCTTGAAAGAAAGTTTTCCTAAAGATGTCTATGTTCTGGTTGCCAGGCAGGAGAGAGGAATGATTCCCAGAACTGTTGCCCACAGTGGGATTCCCTCCTGGGCAATTCCTTTGCACACAAGTAGATCAACTCCTCCTGTGCTTAGCCACGGTTATTCCCCTCCACAGGAAGACACAGGAGGAGGGTGGCTGTTCAGATACTTGATGAGGAGACACAAGAAGAGGATCAGTGTTTTTCTGCATGGGAACATGTTGCTGCCAAAATTTGGTGCAAGTGGAAGTTGTGGAGGCAGGGTCGAATGCTCTCTTGAGCATACTCTGCAGAGCACTGTTGCTGTTGTAGATTTAGTTGGGTAAAAGATGGTAAGTATTAGTTTTCTTTCCCCTTTTTCCCCCTCTTCACCCAACCAGACATATGAAAGGGCTTCGTAGTCACATCCCATGAACTTCTGCATCCATTCACAGTGCCATATCAAGAGCTTATCCCTCAGGCTTTAGCCTAGGGCAGTCTCTCTTTTTTTCTTAATTGCCTAAAGATGCCTTAGATCACATCTTGTGGACATCTGCTTGTGGACCCACATGCAAAGAAACTAGGACAGGCTGGAACAGGATCAGATCCTAGCAGAAAGGTGCTGGCCAGCCACAGAATTGGCAGCGTCAGGGCTGGCTTGGCTGTGTCTGGCATTACGATATCACAGTTGCCTGGGGTATAATACAGGCTGATCTGGGAGGCAAAGGACTTCCTGTGCTGTGATATCTACACAGAGCTGGGGTTCCTCCCTTGATTAGGAACAAGGTGGAGTGGCTGAGCAGCCACCCTTCTCTTCTGAGTGGGAATGGGTCGGTGTTAGCTGAGGCAGGAAATGATGGTGACTGCTGTGGTGTTTTTCAGATTGATGGACTGGAGGAGAAGCTGGCACGCTGCAGACAGAGCATGGAAGAGGTGGAACTTAAGCTGCGCAGGGAGAAGCTCAGCCCTGAAGGAAGGTATTGATGACCACCTCTTTTCCCAGCTGTGGCTGTGCACTTCAGCTGCCTGTCACCCTGCTTAGTATGGAGCAAGGGCTCTTGAAAGGATGGGAGTCTGTGGTTCCCCATGACAAGACTCTCTTCCCCCAGCTTGGAGCTCACTTGGGGAACTTGCTGTGTGAGCAGTTCAGTGATAAATGAAGAGAGCTTTATCTTGTTAACAGCCTGACTCCAACCTCCACCACAACCAGACAAGCAGTGCCCAAAACTTGCCACTTCGTTTGCAGATCTGGCTCCTGGCTTGCTAGGAGACAGCTCTGTGAGTCTGGCAAAGGTTTGTGGCATGCTGTTGCTCAAGCCTTGCTGAAGCTGCATGAGTTCAGTCGGGGGAGATGGGCAGCAGCTACTAATGAGGGCCAAACCAGGCTGGGATGCAGTTGCAGAAGGGGCTGAGGGAAATCATCTGTGCCTGTGTTGCACATGTGTCTGGATGCAGGGATGCATTGACACACTGGCTTTTCTTGGGAAAGCTAAGAGGAACAATCCTCCTGAAATCTGTCACTGCTGTAGAGATGGCAACTGTTGGCTTCTAGAGCTGGGATTGAAGCAAGGACTTTGGCCTGGATTTTGCAGCAGACAAGGGCAGAATCTGCTTTCTCTTGAGTGTGAAGCAAGAGATCCTAAGTCTTCAAGCTGATTCTCAAATCTCTCAGCTTGAGGACATTCTTTCAGTCACCTGAGAGTAGCTCAGTTGGTCAGAGCTTGGTGCTCTTAACACCAAGGTCATGGGATTTGATCCCTGTAGAGGCCATTCCCTTAAAAGCTGGACTTGATGATTCTTGTGGGTTCCTTCTAATTCAGAGTATTACGTGACCAGCATCCTACTGTTCTGCTCCTAGCAAAAAAGGCCAGGAAGCTCAGTTACAGGCCCAGGGAGTGGTTCTGTTGATCCTGGTGTTTGCTCTACAGTACTACAGAACCCATTAGAAATGATCCTAGCAGTGGTGATGTCTCCATACTCTGATATTTACCAGCCTCAAACTCTAATTTGCATTCTGCCTCACTCCTTTAGTGGGATTTTGGATCCCCATCTGTATTTAGGTAGGGTACTGTCCCTCATCTCTTTAGCTCTTCATTTCAGTCCTTTGCTAGGTCTAAATTCTTGTTTACTGTGTGTGTTCTTTATCTGGTACTTAGATGGCCAACAAGAAGCCTACAGTTGTGATGACAGGATGGAATAGATGATGGTTTCTTTCTGAAATATAGGGCCTAGAGCAAAGAATTAGAAATAGGGATTCCTGGGGCCTTTTCTGAACTTTACAGCTTGTATGGAGATAGAAACAGAACTTCAGTTGCCCTATTCCAGACCATTTGAAAAACCCTTGAGGAAGGTACCATGAGGAAAATTATTGATTCAGTGCATAGTACACAGAGGAGAGCTCTGCTTTCCCACTTTGAAGTTCAGTTGTCATGGTTTCTTCATGTCTCATTCTCAAAGCTTCTTCCCTTGACTCTCTTCACAAGGCAAGTTTCTAAATAGCAGCTCAGTCATGTTGGTAAATGTCTTCTCACTTCCTCCTGGCTGCTCTCCACATTGCCTTTCCCCAGTTGTATTTAAAAGCCCTTTCCTCTCCTGCTGCTTTGCTGTAGCTTGCTTTCTTGCCATCCCTTACTTAACCAGCTGTACAAATAGATTTGGATTTCTTTCCTCCTGCAAGTTCTTGGTCTGCCCCAAGGGGAACAACAAACTCTGTTACACTTACTGGCTTCTCTGAACCAGGAGCTAATTTGTTAGTGCATGTTTATTGATGTTCATAGTCTGAAAGTCTGAAAGTCTGAAAGGAGTAACCATGTCCCCACTGCCATAATAGAAATGCTGCTGCTTTCAGGAATTTTATTTTGCATCTATATTTTAAACTGTGTATTAATTAATCGTCTTGTGCAGTTTAAGACAAGAGCTGGGTTGGCCTGTTATTATCATGAGTTTTCAGCATAATAACAGGTTGTTTAACTGGTTGCTACTGGGCTTGGAGTCATCTTGTTTCCTTGAGTTCACCAGTCTGTGTAAATTGGATACCTCTGACACAGGGATCCCAACTTCTCTCAGTGAAAGGAATTACTGGTGCAGCACTAAGCCAGTGTGCTGGAGGGGCAGGATTCTGCAGAGAGCACTTAGGGACCCTGCCCCTTCCCACAGCTATGTCAGAACTTCCTACCCCACCTGGGAGAACTAGAGCAGGGGCTCTCTGACACACGGACTGCATTGTAGCTGCTTCAGGAACACTGACACTGTCCTGAAAGAAGAGATAGGAAGCAGTTTGAGAGAAGGAAAAAAATAATCTAAAATGCTGCATTGCTTCTCTTGCAGAACTAGGTGTTTCTAGACTGTCATCATTCCACAGTGAAGGGTGAGGGGCTCATTCTGTGAGCAGATATCCCCAGCAGTGGGACAGTCTCTCTTCCATCATGTAAGCAAAGAAATAGGCTGTGTTGTGCCTCGCAGGTAATGAACTCCTCTTCTCATTACAGAAAGTCACTGGAGAGAGAGAGAAACTTACTAATGACCAAAGCTGACAACTATGGTAAGAGCTTCATTAAAAATGGTCCCTCTGGGCTGGATGGGATCACTGCTGCAGCTTAGCTTTGTCTTCAAGCTCCTGCCACCTCTGACTTCTGCCTTTGAATTTAGGTTCAGCCAAAGGGAGCTAGACTGAGGGAAATGTAGTCAGCATATTATAATAGGAGTCTGCATCCTCCTGCTTGAGCTGTGCTACCATAGGGGAAAAAAAAATAAGCATCATCTAATGAAGGGGGGAAAATGTCCCATTCACATACCCCAAATTACTTGTCTTTGGATAATCATAGCTAATAGATCAGCTTCAGTAGCTTTTAACATTTCTTCCCTCCCTTTTTTTATTTTTTTTCCTTTTATTTTTTTAATAGAAGCTTGCTAAGCAAGCTGGCAAGTTAGCTGGAGTGCAGCAAAATATGCCTTCCTTGAGGAAAGTTTGTACTGCATCAGTTTCTGAGGCCACTTGGCACAGGACCATAGGGATTCACACTGATGTGCTCCCTGCAGTTCTAGAGAGCCAGGGTCTTTCCTTGCTGGAAGTCCTGCTATAGACAGTTAAAATGAGAGTCCCTCTGAGCTACCACAACTTGACAGCATGTCCATTCCACCAGGGATGCTGCTTTGCACATCTACTGTTGATTACTGTGTTACCTGCTTGACAGTACTTCTAGGCCTGAAGAATGGAAAGCCAGCAACTTTGTAATTATAACTCCTGTTAAAGGACTGTTTCCAGAAGAGTAGCCCTTACTTTAAAGAGATTGAAAACTGTTCCCTAAGGGGCTACCACTGGAGACAGCAGAAGACTCTACACATCACTGCCACTCTTTCAGCAGCCAGCCAGCACTGGCAGCATCAGCGAAGTAGTCATACAGCAGCAACAGCCTCACCTAATGGTGATGGCTGCTCCTTCTGGAACAGAACACACAGTGCATGTGCACAGAGGCTTTTTAGATCACTGCTGTGGCCTCTGATTAAATCTTTACTTACTCCAGCTGACACACTTGAGGTCATGAACTGCAGCTGCTGACGATGGCATTGCTCCATCACTTTAAGCTGGCACTGCTGTGCTTGAGGTTATGTGACCTCCTGGCCTTGCCACCTCCTCGGGGGCCCTGCAGATTTAAGCAGGGTGCTCTGCGGTTGCATGAGAATGCTTGCATTACATGAAGAATGGGGGCAGAAAGAACAGCTAAGAGTCTCTTTTGGTACCAACACCAGTTTAGGAACTGCCGGAGGCTGCTTGTGCAAACTGTAGAGGCAGTAACTTGTGCAGTTACTGCAGATGAACTCGGCAGCAAAAGCAGTCTGACACTGGAGACAGGCCCCACCCAACCCTGCCCTGCAAACCATTACTGCTGTTTGACCCTGCACTGTTTACACATTCTGCAGCATTCAAAGGCGGCCACAGTTGTATTTAAATAAATTTTAACACTAGAAAGAGCTACCAGGCTGTTACCTCTAGAAGATATTAGAAATAGCTCACAGCCCTCTGTCTCCTTCATTCTCTTAGGGAACAAGCAATTATTCTAATGACAAATTCTGTCTGTAGTAGAGGCCTACAGCAATGTCATTTGCAAACAGGTACTGGTCTGGCACTGAAGTATTCCCAAGCACAAGTGTCAGGATGAGAATTAGCAAATGAAAAGGTTCCCACTAATTTACTTCCTGTTTAACGCATCCTATAATTGGCAGCTTTGCATACCGCTCCCAAAGTGTTGCCCGTGGCCAAGGTAGCTTTGTGCTTTTAAGGGAGTTCTGGAAGTAGATGTAGCTGCAACATGATGAACCTTCACAGGCAAGGCTTTCGTTTGTTTCCCAGAGAAAGAACTGAGTGCGCTTCGCAAGGAAAATCGCAAGAATGCTGCCCTTGCTGTGGCCATGGCATTGCTGATTGCTCTTATTTACGCCTGCTGGACGATGTGATTGCAGTCAAGAATTCTCCCTGCTGACCAAATGACTCTCCTGCAAGGAGCTCTTCCTCCTCTCACCACTGTGCCTCCAAGAGTGAGGATCAGCATTTCAAAATGCTGTTCTTGTTTACTGTCTCCAAGCCTCATTGTAGGGAAGATTTTTCTCTGCAAATTGAGGGGGACAGGAGACAAACCAGAAATCACAGCACACTTGCACTTGAAAATCAGGTCAAACAGAGCTCAAGGTGGTGCCATCTTACCCCAAACACAGTCAAGATCACCGAGCATGATGCAGGAAGGCACTTTCTTCTCCCTTTTGAAGAGGACCCCTGTGGTTGCCGACAGGTGCTCTCTGCCCAGCCCTGGTGGAACATATGCCACTTTCTTGGCTCCTGTGACTCAGCCATAAGATGAAGGGACACGAAGCTCAATCAAAGGGTAATCTTGAGGAATTGCAACCTTAAGATTTCATGTGTTTGCAGAGCTGCAATAAAAATGTTTTCTCCTCCACCCTGACTTTAAGGACCAAAGGAATCCTACCTCCACAGAAGCATAGGTACATAGGTATCTCTTTTTCTGCAAGCAGGTAGCATACAGCTTGAGATCTGGATGCTGGGGGCTTTGAGAAGATCTGCCTGCTTCTCCAGTGCATCAGAGCTTGGTAGCCATTTTGTGCCTTTGAGAATCAGCACTTGCAGAAGAGAATTTTCTAGCAACTGCCAGAAATGGAAGTGCTTGTGTAGGGTTTTAAATAAAATAATCTGACCTTGTAATTTCCTGGGTTTTTTGTGGTTTGTTGTGGGTTTTTTTTGGTTTTGTTTTTTAAATTTCTCTCCTTGTTTTGTCCTGTTTCACAGGCAGTGCTTTATTCCCATCCTGCCATCTCCCTGCTGGCACACATTGCACCACAATGAGCCTAGACTGGGTTAGGCACTTAACATCCCTGGTAAGTGAGGTCTCAACAGTGGTTACTGGGATCTACTTCCTTTGAGAGGAAAAGGAGCCTAGCATGCTGCAGAGGAGCACTGGAGACACTCCCCTGTAGTCCCCTCATTCCCATGCAGGGACATACAATAAGCAGCCCTCAGCATGCTCTAACCTGGCAGGAAGGCCTTTAGAAGGGACTGCCTTGAAAACGTAACTCTGCAAGGCATATCTCTGTCACCACACTGACACACACTGCTGGCCAGAATTTTGTGGGGAAGCGAAGTAAACAAGCACTGCTGTGAACTAAAGGGGCTGTATTGGCAATAGAGACAATGAAAGCAGAGAAGTCAACACAAAATAATACAAAGCCTAATAATACATTGTGCAATTAACATACATAACATTCCCTTCAGCAAGACCTTACCCACCCCTTCTCAACATAATCCATCAGCAGGGAAGCAAGTAGCATGGTGGCTCAAGCTTGTCTTGAAGGGAGATTTGGAATCAAGGTTCAGTGCATCAAAAATAAAATTAAAAATAAAAGCAAATTTAAATGAGGAGCTAGAGACAACTGAGTAAACATAAAGTATCCATTCATTAAAGCTAGCCTGCAGGCTGACCAGGCATTCTTGTACCCTCAGAGACCTACACTCACCCCCTAGTGTCCTTCTTAGTCGCCCCTCTGCCAGCCCACAGAAGTCAAACCCCTGAGTCGAGGGTACAACACTTGGAAGGAGCCTGGCAGAGGGAGCAGCATGCTCTGCTGGCATTGGAACAGCCTCAAGGCAGTCCACACAAGTGCCAGAACTCAATTACTGGTTGGTTTAAAAAGCCAACTATACACAGGCCCGGACACCACACAGCTGGAGGTACTTTACTGCCCAGTGGGAGAGATTCCTCCTCGTTCCTCAGGGAAGTGCTTGTGCCAAGACAAAAGGTACCAGTGACATGCTTTCGTTCTTTTGGAGGAAGGGCCACCACTTGTTTCATACACATTTTACTGATGTTTGAGAGCAGAGGGGGTCTACAGGTCAGTAAGAGGATGCGTTAACAGCCTGCAGTCCTTCACCTGCTTTGACAGACTTGTATCTAAGTGAAAATTTCAGTTTTGCCGCACAAGCTTGTTCAAATCATATGTATGCTTGTGGAGAAAAAACCCTATCTAATAACTGCCATAGATTCTAGAACTATAGCTTTCCTTAAGGCACACTTCAGACCTAAATCAGTTTTCTCCCTACTGCCAATCTGTGTTTAAAAACAACAAACAAAACGAAACAAAACACCAAACAAAAAATAAAAAAAAAGGGCAATTTTGCTTCTTGGTCAAAAGCATTCAATCATGTGTCATCTTCTGATTTATGTGGAAGACCTGGCAAAGTGCCATGGAAGCCAGAAGTGAAGGTAAAACATGCCACAGAAGCCAACTTTGAGCCTGGCACAGAAGTGCATGGAGAAGTCTGGACACAAATACCATGCTGAAAGTTTCACAGCTCTATGCCTTCACCCCAGATGCAGTTCCACAGCCAAATAAGATACAAAGGGTTTCAAAGCCTCTTTGACATTTAAAAAGGAAAGTCGGGTTACCTTGCCAGGGGGTACAGTCAGGGGACAGGATTTCTTCCAATTAACCAACATGGTCAAAGTCAAGATCTCTTTTCACTGAAGCCCTGGGTCTTTTTAATTAAGTCAGACATCCCCATAATTTCTTCCAAAGACTCCAGCATCCCAGCCTTCCAGTGTTTTCCCTCCCACATCCACTTTCCTCCCTGAAGATTTGGGTAACAGTGTTGAGTACCAAGAACAAAAGCACCTTGGTCTCAGAAGTACCATGAGGCACATACACCAACAATGGTACATGTTCACAAACCCTAGGCTGCTGGCTTGGGATCAGTCACTAATGTGGAGAGGGGAAATCCTTGTCACAGCAGCTTCTAGAGGTCTGAGAAAGCCCTGGCACTGAGCACTTCAGATCTGTGCCAGGAGCTCTACTCATCATCTGCATTGGCATTTGTCCGACAGGATACCATCACATAAGAATTGCTAGTGGCCAGCTGAGTGCCTTGATAACCAGAAGCGTTGGAGACACCAACAAGGATACATGACTTGTGTCCCACAGCTAGCATTCCCCAAAGAGTTAACACCCTCCAGTGGGAAGTGTGGGCCTTTGACAAGGCCAAGGAGACATAGCTGCCAGGAACAATGCAGGGCTGCTTCAATGTGCAGTTGCCAAGCTCTGCCATCAAAACGTCTCTGCTCCTTCCCATACTGCCAGAGAAGCACAAGCCTGGAAAGTTCTGGCACACACAGAGCTCCACAAACCTTGCTGAATGTTTGAGCAGGAGCAAAGAAAGCTGCCAGCCCCTTGGCCTCATGCATGCAGTAGGGCATTAGGCCTTGGCTCCAGGAGTCACCAGGGGTACTCCAGCAGCAGGTGCTACCTGGGCTGTACTCTTATATACACTGCCAAGGTAGAGCCTCATCCTGTGCCTTCTGTGTACCACCCCCTGCTTCAATCACCTCCAGGAAATCAGCTCTGGAGAAGACCAGGATAGAAATTGTGGAGCCTTCCCAGTCTCATCAGTCCCTGAAGAATCCGAGCTGGGCTCTGACTCCCCCTGCACCCTCAAGGGAGCAGGGTTAGGGGTAGTGTGCTTGGATGAAAGACAGGACAGTCTCTTTTGACAGCTTCTCTGGATCTTGTCTCTTCTGAGAGTCGTGCACTTTGACACCTTCCCCCCACTCCCAGAAGAGGCGGCTGTAATGGCAGATGCTGTGGGCAGAGAGGAGAGAAAGATTAGTCTGGCAGGGGAGGGAAAGGAAAACATTTTCATCCTATCCGGGGACAGCTGCCTTTACAATGGGAGCCACAGAGAAATACTCTGAAGAGGTGCCTTAGAAAAGACTGGTGCATTCATTGACCTTACAAACTCTATAGCTCCCAAAGTACAGCAACTGCCAAGCCTGAGAGATTTCCACAGAAACAAGCTTCTTAATTCTAGCTTCACTTGAATTCAGTTCAGTATTTGCTGGAAGGAGTCAGGTCATTAGAGAAAAAACCCTACCTCCCCCCATGTTTTTCAGAGGATGAAACTGTCATTGCAGGCAATGGAAAGGCCTAATGAAGAATTTAGAAAGCCTGCCAGGAGCAGCAACCTAATCACTCACCACAGATCTACTATAATCAGTAATAGCTGTCCTATGGAGCTTTGCAAACAAACAGCACTTCCCACTGCACGAAAGCAGCTAGGATCATCCCCTCTTTCCCCTCGTGTGAAATAACAGTGTTCAGCTTGGCTGCTGACAGTTCTAGTCCTACAGCCATCTCCCACTCCATCCATCAAGCACAGCCCTCCCTCACTGCATCAACATAGTCCCAGCCATAATGAAATCAGAGCTGCTAATTACTGCCAGCACAGCAGCCTTTAGATTTGTACAATTACTGACACTTAATATTCATAGCTTATTTAGTGCTTCTGTTCTAACAAAGCAGTACTAGCAGAGGGACAAGAGCACATGTCAATGGCTAATTACAGACATTAGTACTCACTAACCACAACACAAACACAAAACATCCCTTCTAGAGTCCCACACAAGCACTCCCTACACCTCCTCAGCCATTCCTGCAGGTTTGTGCTGGTCTATTTCCAGTACAAAGGCAGAACTAAACGCATCCTGACACACAGAGGGAAAAGGCATCAAGTGCCTCTGCCTTTTAAGCCTGTTTTCCATTCACCCCGCTAGGGAGAGCTTCAGGATTCTTGAGAGCACTGCTGTGAGGTAGGTAAGGCGATTCAAAGGGAGAAAATCAGGAACCCTATTTCATACCAAGCTCTTGCTCAGAGGCACAGTCTTGGGTAACTGTGGTAGAGGGCATCTCTTGAGACTACCTGAGGGCAGGGTGTGCAGAACATCTCCACCCATGTGGAGTGTCTGAGGTGCCCTGAGGTGTCACAGACAGATTTGCTGTATTTCAGTAATGGCCTTAGCCTAGTACTCAGTAGAAACAGATGGGGTTCAGCAGCCACAGTGTTAATGACTGTCCCACGGCAAGCCACGCCATCCTTTCCCTAAGAGCTGCTGTTTTTCACTCCCTCTCTCCGCCTTAAGAAAGCTCCCAGTTTCCAACAGCTTATTCCAGAGCCTAGGCTAAATGAACTGGGATTTGCTTTTAAATTAGCAGCTTCCAACCAAGCACATTAAAATACAGAGATACAGCTAACTACAATTGCTGGGCTCAATTTCTACTTCCCTGTGTGCAGGAGGCTCAGTAACCTGTACTCTGCTGCAGACAAGGAAACTAAGTTGTGAGGTGTTTGTTATTCATAGCCATTAATCGCAAGATCCAGGATTCCAGATCGGCAGTTTCCTGAAGGTCTGAGAAGGTGCCAGCTCCTGCAGCACACCCTGCTGGTGACCAAGCTGCACTTGCAGCACAAGAACACAAGCACTCCTGAATTCCTTCCAAATACCCAGGTGTGCACACACAGAGACACTTAGCTTGCTTTCCACAGCCTCAGCTCTGGCTCATACTCACTGAAAGGGTGCAATGGCTTCAGCAGGCAGGCTGTACGTCGCTACATTGGTCATTTTGTTGAAGAAGAATTTCCTCTTGAAGTTTTTGCTATATGCCATTGTCCAGGGATCTAGTAAAAGTTACAGGGATCAGACAGAAAACGAAAGGGAGGAAAAAAAGCACAGTAATAAATACACATACAGTGCAAGCAAGAAGGAAGAATCTGTAAGAATAATTGTGATCCTTCTGTTACTCCTTTTTCCTTTCCTCCCCCCCAAGGTCTCCTGCTTCCCAAGCTATTCTCTATTCACTGAGGAAAAATCCCTTATCCCT